GCCGCCGGCGCTTCCCGCAGGCACTCATCGTGGGCGTGAAGAAGGGCGGCACGCGAGCGCTGCTGGAGTTCCTCCGGCTGCACCCCGACGTCCGCGCGCTTGGCTCCGAGCCCCACTTCTTCGACAGGTGTTACGAGCGCGGCCTCGCCTGGTACAGGTGAGCGCCCCTGCCTGTCTGCCCCATTGGTTTCCAAGCGAACTCGGGTGGTGGGATCTAGTGGAGAGGAGTCCGGGCTCTGGGACGGAGCCCCGCCTGTGTCGGGGATCAGGCTTGATCCTAGCCCTGAGACCCCAAAGCAAAGGCAGTACTGGCCAGAGGCTCCAGGAACTTTGGAAACTCACGAAAAAGCCTGTTTTGGTCTATTTGGCAAGATGGAGGGGAAGGTGTGACCCCAGCCAGGAAACAGTTTCAAGTCGGCCCCCCATCTCCACTTTGGGATAGTAGGGTTGATCCTCTTATTTGTGGCTAGTTACCTTAGGAGGGGGCCTCCGGGTTCCCTGCAGCCTCCTATAAAGCGTCCTCTCACCCCATAAGTCCTGCCTCCCTCCTGGGAGTCCTTTTGACTTCTGGAATTGAGAAAGTTTGGTCTGGGCTGTAGAAAGGCGCTCTGCCCTTCAGTGTGTGTCCAGGCAGGGGGAATGGGATCCAGCTGCCTGCACAGGCTTTGTGGCTGCCCTGTGCCCCACCCAGGAGGGACCAGGGGTGTGGCAGTGGAATGTGGGGATCACCCTGCCCCAGCCAGGCGACTGCACTGATGGCTAGTCAAACACCAGTTCCTCTCTGCTGAGCTGGGAACTGAGCCTGAGCCAGGCCTTGCCCTCTGCTGCTTAGCTGGGATTGCAGGTGTGCATCACCTCACAGGACCCTGACTCCATTCACACCAATGCTCCAGTTTCTCTATTCCCAGATCCACCCTTTCCCCGACTGTTAACTTTGTTGCATTAAGAAGACTGGGGGATCTGGAGGGAGAATGGGAGATCTGGCTCCCGAACTCTGAAGGGTTGGTGCTGCCTGGATACTAGGGAAACTGGGCATGGTGGGGAAAATTGAACTGTGGGACATTTTCCCAGCTCAGGCTTGTAGAAGAGACTATTGGCCTACTCTGGATGGAGAAGGACCAAAAAAGGGAGAGGAGAGGAAAGGAGAGGGGAGGGGTACGGAGACCAGGAATCAAGGAGGAATGCTTTATGGAGTGCAAACTTCCGAGCTTGCTGCTGGGGATGTCTCAGTGGTAGAGCACTTGTCTAGCATGCAGAAGGCCCTGGGTTCAATTCCCAGCACTACGAACAAAACAAACAAACACACTCCACAGCTTGCTGTGTGCTGGGTAGGAGCAGCTGTGGAAGATGGGGATGAGTTTAGTGCTAAAAGTTTCTCAAGACACCAGGATTCTGGGCCCTTGCTTCTCTGTAGGAAAGACCCTAGGGTGGGTGAAGGACCCAGAGGCCCACACTGAGGGCAGATCCTCAGCCCTGGGGAGGGGACCTTGGAGACACTGACATATCCGGGACGGAGTAGAGGGTGTTCCAGACAGTGAAACCCTGCTGAAAGGAGACTTAATTTCCTCATCTGTAAAATCTGTCTCCAGTGGACAGAGGCAGGGGATGCTTGTGGAGGGCTCAGATTCTGTGGCCTCTGTCCCTTCATCCAGTACACAACAACCTGAGTATAATGGTTGAGCTTCCGGTCTGTGAGTCCTGGTCCTTCAGAGGACTGTGGCCATGTGCTGTTGTATGTGAATGTGGGGCTGCTCTGCTCACAAGTGCCTACACTCCTGGTGCCAGCTTGTCTTTTCAACCATCATGTGTATGTTTCACCCCTGCCTCCTTGTGTCTAGCTGCAGGACCTGGGATAAGCCCATAGCACCTGCAGGGCTCTATTCTAGGTGTGAGTTGGGGAGACAGGCGAAGAAGGAATAGCCAAGTCCCCAGGTGAGTTTCTGGGTCACAGCACTACAACCTGCTAGTTGTGACCCACCTCATTTCCAGCAGTGACCTGGTCATCTTCTGCCCTTTGGAGGTGGGTTCTGTGTTGTCCTTAGCCCAATCGTTCCCCCTTCCCAACCTCTGTTACTTCATGTCTCAGGCTCTTGAAGGTACTCCATCTTGGGGACCATGGTCCCTGAGTACCCTCTAACTCAGTATCTGCTCACCCTTTCATCATTGAGCACGCACTATTTGCTAGATACTAGAGTCACACAAAACCCCAGGGTCTTGATCTGGAAAGGTGACCCCATCTTGGGTCAGGTGAGGACTCAACTTTGACCATAATACTCTAAAAAAGCAAGAATAAGGTGAGTGTGGTGGTGCACGCCTGTAATCCCAGCACTTGGAATGCTGAGGCAATAGGAAAGCTGTGTGTTCAAGGCCAGCCTGAACTATATAATGAGATCCTGACCGTAATAGATACATAAATAGGAGGAGGTGATGAGGAAGTATGGGTATGGAAACCCCCTTAGTTCCTAGTGTCAGAGCAGTGAGTATAGGGAGAGGGGTTGTGCTTGTAGGGAAGGACTTGGGCTTCTGTGCACCATATCTTTCCTCTTTCTGTGACTAGGGAAAGTCTGCCCCCCCAGTACTTTCTATCACTGGAATAAAAACAATAACTGGTTTTCCCCAGGTCCCAGGCCCTGCTGGACCAGGCTCTGGCAGGGTATAGGACATGGAGGTGGGGGTGCTGAGATGGAGGAGAAAGAGTGGCCTAGGGCTGGATGGAAGCCGCAGGGAAATGCAGACCAGATGAGGTGGTTCCGTGGGGAGGGTCTTTGGAACCACTTATCAGATGTTTGCTGTGTGGGGTCAGAGTTCTGTTCTGCTTATCCTTTCTCTAGTCTACCACTCCCCAAAAGTGCCAATCCTCACTCTACAAGCCCAGTTGGGACAGGCTCCTAAAGCCTGAGGAGGGTAAGTAATTGATTGTAAAAATCCCAGAGCAGGCTTGCGGCAACTGTGAGCCCAGAAAGTCCTTGTATTTCTTCTGTATTCCATCCCCTTCTTTGGCAGGGGTTTCAGGAGGGGCCTCCTCCTTTGGAGCTGCTCTACTTTTCTGACTTCCTAGAGAGAAAGGCTGGAGGTAAGGGGTAACATCAAGGCTCCCAGCAAAGGATGGTGTTGGGGACATTCAGAATCAGGCTTCCGGTCAGATAGGGAAGAGACTGGGAGTCAGGACAAGCTAGATTGGAAGGGAGGTGTCTGGGAGGCCTGAGTCTCTTTCTTGCCCTGGAAAAATGCAGGAAGGTGTGGTGCATTCTGGTGAGGCCTGGTGTACACCCCTCCCAACACCAGCATCAGCTTCTCTTGTAGGTCCCCGTGGTAAGGTCCAGTGTGGGGAGACTCTCCTTCTTATGACTTCCCTCAGGGAAAGGGATGCCCTCTGAGCTGTCTGGCCCTGCCAACTTGCAGCCCTATGCCATAGATATTGGTGGTCTAAGATCTTTTTGAATTTTCCTTGAGGACAGCTGGGTGTTGTTCCCATTGGATCCCCAGTGTGTGAGGTAGGGCATGGCGGGCAGGGATTCTGAGAGCAGAAGACACCCAGACACCTCTTTGCCAGAAGGACTGGAAGGCTAAGAGCCAGTCTCCACTTTCAACTCCTTGTTCCCTCTCTGAGCCTCAGTGTACCTGCCTATAATATGGGACAGTGGGTGGGGTGGAGCTGGCTCTGGCTCTGTGTCACCAAGATCGAGGAAGTTGACTTATCCTCTGTGACTTCTGAAGATCAGCTCTGTCCTGGGCCTTGATCTGAAGGGTGGGGAGGTTCTATTCCACGCTGCCTGCCCCACCCTTCTGTGACCATGGATGCTGTTAGGGACTCTGGTGTTCCCAGCTCTCCCTCTTGCCTAGTGGGGCACATGCAGACATTTTCCTGTCTTACCACCAGCAAGCCCCAGTATGATCATGCCAGCTTGGGAGACTGGGTGCCTGTGCCTGCCCTGAATTTCTTTGGAGGTCTGGGTAGGGAAGGAGTCAGTCAGGCTGGCTGAGACCTGGATTTGTTACTTCCTGGCTGGGCCAGTCTTGGCCCTGTCAGTGGGGTCAGACAGTACACCCCCTCAGACGGTGGGAAGCAAGGCCAGGCAGGGCTGGGCATGGCTGGGCAGAGACATCTCCTCCCTAGCAAAGGCCACACAGTCTCTGCCTCTGTTGACCTAGTTCCCAGCCCTCCCTTGGAGGTGTTTGTTCAGCTGCCCCACCTTGCCCGACCTCACCCTGTACTACCTGGCTGGCAGATGCTGCCTCAAGACAGCGTGAGGCGTGCCTGGGCCTGTCCAGCTGGGCACTCAGAATGGGCTTTCCCAGATTTGGGGCTGTCAGGGGGCTGTGGTCAGCCAATTCTTCTGGACCTTGGGTTGGCTGGTGCCCCCTCCCCCACATTAGAATGAGGGGAATATTAGAAATAGTATGTCTTCAGCCTGGCACCCTGGGGCCTTGGAAGCACAGGGCCTTGGGACAGGTCCCCAGGAAGATCATAACCATATCATTAATTTTCTCAAATGATCTGGGCTCTGAGTGTGGCTCTTGGCAGTCTGAGTTGGGCACAGGTGGATGAGAGTTAGCAGGGCTGCAGTTGAAGGTAGGGAAAAAGGTATATTTAAATTAAAGGGAGGGAGAGAGGGAGAACCCGACCTTTTGTTGGCAACCCTTGTCAATAACAATAACTAATGACCTAATTCAGGGGATGCAGTCAGTCACTGAGTGAAAAGGGTGACCTTGACGCAGAGGCCAGCGGGGGTAATAAGTACAAACTGGCTAGCCTTGGAGTGTTTGATTTGGGGCAAGGTCAAGGTTGGGGGCACAGCAGCTCGGGGAGGGGTGGGTCTGGTGGGCAGAGGTTGCTGAGACTCAAAGGAGCTGGCCCTTGGGAAAAGGGTCATAGAGCTTGTACAGAGAACACCAGTGGCTGGTGAAGAGTGCCTTGGTCATCTCTGTCCCCAGTGACGGTTACTCCGTTTTTCTTAGGGATAGCACAGATGGGGGCAGCCTGGTAGGCAGGCCCCCCTGCAGGCCTGTGCTGGGCTGGGCACCTCTTAGCTCACCTCCCAGGCTGCCAACCTCCTAGGATGTTTACCCCTGCACGTGGGAGGAAGGACCTGAGAAGAGGGGCAGCTGGCCCACTTTAGGCACCTGGGGCTTCCTTGGAGGAGGAGGGCCTAGTCCCAGGTCTAGCGTGAGGAGGGACACTTCACAGAAGTGCTTACCCAAGAACAGCGCCCACTCAGCCTGCTGCTCTTCCCATTGCCCCCAGGAGCCTGATGCCACGTACCTTGGATGGGCAGATCACCTTGGAGAAGACACCCAGCTACTTTGTGACACGGGAAGCCCCTCATCGAATTCATAGCATGTCCCCAGACACGAAGCTGATCGTGGTGGTACGGAACCCTGTGACCCGGGCCATCTCTGACTATGCCCAGACACTTTCCAAGACCCCAGGCCTGCCCAGCTTCCGCACCCTGGCCTTTCGCCGTGGCTTGGGCCCTGTGGACACAGCCTGGAGTGCCGTGCGTATCGGTCTCTATGCCCAGCACCTGGACAACTGGCTGCACTACTTCCCTCTGTCCCACTTCCTGTTTGTTAGCGGCGAGCGTCTGGTCAGTGACCCAGCTGGAGAGGTTGGCCGTGTGCAGGACTTTCTGGGCCTCAAACGGGTTGTCACGGACAAGCACTTCTACTTCAATGCCACCAAGGGCTTCCCCTGCCTCAAGAAGGCCCAGGGAAGCAGCCGTCCCCGCTGCCTGGGCAAATCCAAAGGCAGGCCCCACCCCCATGTGTCCCAGGCGGTGGTCCAGCGACTGCAGGACTTCTACAGGCCCTTTAATCACAAGTTCTACCAGATGACTGGCCAGGACTTTGGCTGGGACTGAGCAAGGCCCAGCTAGCCCTGCCTTGGATGCTTGGTAATCTTAATTTATGTCTGTCCACTGGCCAAAGCAGCTTCCCTACACATGCTGTGGAAAGAGAATATTTAAGAAATAAAGTCTGGATCCATATTCTTCCATTTGACCTTGAGGTTTGGGTGTAAGTGATACCATGCCAATTAACTCTGTGGGGCCAGGTGCCATGCCAAACCCGTTCCTTACATGTCCTCGAAGCTGGGCCATGTACTTGATCACATGGCACAGATGAGCATGAGAGGCTCAGAGAGACTCAGGTCCTGCCTGGTGACTCTGGGGGCTGCCTTCCATTTCTTCTCGGCCCAGGGAGGTTGAGCAGGTTTGTCCACATATCCAGGAGAAGGAAACTGAGGCAGGAGGAGTTTGCTCCTTAGTGGTGGAGCAGGATTAAAGTTGGATCTGGACAATTGTGTGTGCTGTACCTGGGACCTCAGTTAATCCCATGTCCTAGTGCCTAGTGGACAATCTTGCCTACAGGCCATGTGGAACTCCTGGGCAGTGCAGTGCTTGGCAGGTGACATGGTGTGTATAGGACAGTGATTCAGCAACCTTCAAGCTGTTCCTGAGCAGCCTGGCCCTCTCTGCCTACCCAGGACAAGCTCTTTCCAGAGACCGGCCTGCACACAGTCTCACCCCAGGTCACACCCACCAAATGACACAGCCCCTCTACGCCGTCGCGGTCCCAGCCAGGTCTGTTGCCTGTTTCTTACATCTTCTCCCAGGGCAGGGCAGGAACGGGTCCCATCTGCAGCCCAGCTGCTCACTCTTAACCAAGTCAGGCCACACTTGGGCAGGTTGGGGAGTCCATCCATCTCCTCTCAAAACATGAGGGACCGTCAGTAATGGCTCTAATCTGTTCCTGGTCGCTGCTGTCTGCCAGGGGCCCACCAGCTGTCCTGACAATGACCTCTAGGCTGGTTAGGTCCAGGTCCTGTACATCTGCCCTGTCCCAGGCTTGCCGCAGGGCCTGGCCATAGCCTCTGCATCCTAGGCAGCACCTTGGATTTCATGCCTTGTCCTTGCCCCTGATGTGGCCTTTCTACCTCTGAGCTGCTTGGGGCCACTTCATGTGCTGAGGCCGAGGAACACAGGCAGTGAGGGGGGATTTTCAGGGGATGGGGGGAGCCTGTCAGCTTTGGCTGCTCCCTGTGGGACTGTGAAACTTTACTCGGAGCCAGGACCCCCACCGGGTGCCATGTCCTCTCTCTGTCATGTGATCTCATCTCTGGTGTGGACATGGGGTCAGTTACTGTCAGTGTCACAGAAAAGGCTCAATGGGAGGGAGAGGCACGTGTGGAGTTGTCTGTTTCTGGTTGTCAGAACCCTGCCCCTGCTCCTGCTAGTTTCCTGGCTCAGCAGACATTCTTGCCTGGAGCTTCTCTTAGGAGTTGGCACTGTGCTCGGGCCTTTCCGTCCCAGGCCAGGCCAGTAGCAGGGCTGGGGGCTGGTTCTGGAGGCATCTCCCTGTACTCACTGAATAGTGCAGTTTCAACCTTGTGAACCGATGCGCGGCCAGAATGCACAGCCTCTCCCCTGACTGCCCTTTGTTATGGGTGAGGAGAAAGGGCTGTCCTAAACTACAGTAAATGAACGAAGAGGGGACAGGTTCTCCTCTAGGATTTTGCCAGGTGGTGAGAGCAGGACTTGATGACTCTGTCCCTGTCCCCTGGACGGAGGGCAGGACGGAAGGCAGGACAGCCCTGGTTGCTGGCCCAGTTCCCCGCCCAGTCCATGCATACCTCTTTCTTTCTGGACATGTACTGCACGCGTCAGGACAGACTCAGGACCTACACTGTCACCTGGCCCCTCTTTTGTTCTGCAATGAACTCTTTGAACCACAGCTAGAAGGGTGTCTTCGGAATAAGACGGATCACAGCCCCATCCTATTGTTTCTAGGATAAAGACCAGATGTCTTCCCATAGCTGTTAAGGGCCTCCAGGGCTTGCCCTGTCCTGCTTGGTCCTCTCAGCTCCATGATCCTGCCAGCTCCATCCACCTACCGTACCCCTTCCAATCTCACAGACTTTACATGCTGTTCTCCCTGTCTGGAGTGCCTTTTCCTGCAGAACGTGCAGATGGAGGTGGCAGCAATCTTAAGCACAGGCAGCTGTGCTCCTGCGTTTAGCATTGCATTTCTGAGCCCCTTGAGGTGACCCATTTTCCCTCTCCTGGAACCTTCCTGGATGTAGAATTTTGGGGACATTGGTGTCCCTGGGCCCAGGCCTCACGGGGCACACTCTGGAGGCAGCTGGGAGGAAGGATGATGGGCTGGTCTGTTCTGCGGGCCTCACCCAGTGGAAGCTCAGCCCCGAGGGCCACCGCCCTGTGTGAGGTGCCCAGCTGTGCCTAAGAACACACTGCAGGCAGATGTAGTGGGTCCTGGGGCTGTGCTGGGAGGGTGGGGCTCTTGGAGGAGACATCAGCCTTTAATTAAAGTCTCTAAATTGTTTCCCCAGCTGCTCCATGGGTTTTCGACATTGGAATGTTCTAGATGGGGTGAGAAGTGCTGATTCAATTAGCTTCTTTCTGTCCTGACCAGCTGGGACACCTTCTCCACCTCTTGTGGGGACCTGCGTGTCTTCACAGCCCTGGGGCCAGGAAGGGGCTTGGAGAAGCCTGGGAAGGGGGCTGCTTTGGCCTTTGGGGCCTCACCCGGCCCCAGCCTCCCGGCCATACCTGGTCCAGGCTGGGGGCCCACAGGAAGGAGGGGTAGGCAGACACATTGTTCTCGCTCTGGGGCTTCCGCTTGCAGATGCTGAGACCCTGGCCCAAGCGCTTCAGTGTCCCCAAATTCCAAGTATTCAAACTGCGAATCCTCATCCTGGAGGAGGAGACCTGTCCTCTACAGGGGGTGGCGGTGGGACTGGACCACTGGGTCACACCGCCTGCCCCCTTTGCCTGCTGACTTTGGAAGTGGGGTTAGGGAGTCCAGGCTGAGGCCCTGGTTTTGGGTGGTCCTTCTCTCTAGGGTTGGACCGGCTTGCTGTGCCAGAGTGGATGGGCTAGAGAGCCAGGGTGAGGCTCACAAGGGGGCAGAGAGGTACAGTAAAGGGGAAGTTGGCTCTCCGAGGGTGAAGTCTGTTGCATCTGTCAGTGTCTTCACCCCAGGATGAGGTGCTCTGGGGGAAATGTTGGATTCTCCTCATCCATGTGCCCCCGAGTGCATAGATCTGGGACCTGTTACCCCAGCGAGGTTCAGAGGACATTCTGGGCTATAGGAGGGGGGCCAGAACCCAGGTGGAGAGGTGCTGGAGCAATGTCAAATGAATTGAATCCTAATGTAGGCCCTCCTCACTCCAGCTCCCTAGGCCCAAGCCCCTTTCCCTTTGCCCGCCTGCCCTGAGGCTCCTTTTTCCCGTGGAGGAGCAGCCAGACTACAAATTCGAAGGAATCCCTCTGCGCTACCTCAGCCATGACCCAGGATGGGCCAGGGACAGCGTGAAGGTTCCCTGATGCTTTAGTTGGGGCAACTACCCACCATGTTTCTGTGCTAGGATGCCCGGTCCCCTTTCTTTCTGTGGAAGCTGTACATGAGAGGCTGGGAGTGTGCTGCCATCAGGAACCATCAGAAACTGGACTGACTCCTGAGACCAGCGGGCGGGGGCTGGGAACAAGTTGGGGCAGGCTTGGATTCCTGACAGGCTGGGACAGTGGCTAGAAGGGCCTCACAAATTTGTTCATTCTTTTAGCCAGCTGGTACTGAGGGACTGGCTCGGAGGACACCATGGTGGATGGGCAGGCTGTCCCTAACTGCATGGAATCCCCATGTGGTGGAGGAAACAGAGCCAACCACCAGCAATCCAGAAAGCAGAGCACTCGTTGCAGTGTGGGGAGCACCAGAAAGCATGGAGCAGGATGGGGGAGAGCTGCCCTGGACAGGAGAGTCCCTCAGACCAAGCCCATTTATCCGCACCTTGAAGAGGGACCAGCTGTGCCAGCGTAGGAGGACAGTAGGTGTGATAGCCTGGGTAAGAAAAACTGTGACTATGAGGGCTGGGGATGTAGCTCAGTAACAGAGCACTTGCCCAGCATGCATGAGAACCTAATTCTACTCCTAGTACCCCAAAAAGAAAGAAAGAAATAAAAAAAACAAAAAACAAATTCTGACTGTAAGATAGGCCTTGCTCATAAAACCCGAAGACTTATAAACAGTGCCTCAGGCAGATACTTGTACACCCATGTTCTTGGAAGCTGTATTCTCAACAGCCAAAAGGTGAAAATAACCCAAATGTTCTCCAGTGGACAAGTCTGTGATGTAACAAAATTGTGATGTGTCCACGCAGTGAGGTTTTTACTACTCAGCCCCCGAAAGGAATGATGTTCTGAAACATGCTACTGTGAGGATGAACCTCAAAGACTTTACTGTAGGTGAGATAAGCTAATCACAACAAGTTATCTATTATATGATTCTGCTCATAGGAAATGTCCAGTATAGGCAAATTCAAAAAGATTAAAGCATATTGGTAGTTGTCTGAAGATGGAGGTAGGAGGGACTGGGAAGTGATTGTTTAATGGCTATAGGGTTTCCTTTTGAAATGATGAAATAGTGCACAATATTGTGCACATATTAAATGCCATTGAATTCTTCATTTTAAAATAGTTGATTTTGTAGCTGGGGATGGTGGCACATGCCTGTAATCCCAGCACTCAGGAGGCTGAGGCAGGAGGATTGCCAAGAGTTTGAAGACCACCTGGGCTACATAATTAGTTTAAAAACTACATAGTAAAGACCCTTTCTCCAAAAAATAAATAAATACAAGTAAATAAATAAAATCACCCAAGGTGAGACAGGCCGGTCAGGCTCTGAAGGGCTTCCTCACACAACTCTGAACACTCGGGCTCCATGGGGGCTCAGAGAACCAGACAAAGGGGGCTTATGCCAGCCCAATGCTGTTGATGAGTCCATCTGTCCAGGCCTTGGTCAGTTCCTGTCCTCATCGGCAAGGGAAGCCCAGATGTATTTTTGTTGCAAATGAGGGGCTGTGGGGGGAAGATGGAGCACTGGATTGCACAGGTCCTGTGGAGTTGGCACGGGGCCCTGAGGCCTTGCAGGGCTGCGCCCATCTGGAAGACTGGCCGTGA